CTCCACGGGATTATGTAATTAACCAATGGACACATGCATTTAGATATAATCTATTATGATTCATATGTATATTGTATTTCTTTCTTGGATGCTTTCATTGAAGCTTTGTGTACTTTCCACTAGCCCACTTAAAAATGTCAGTTACATTTTAAAGTACATATTTATTGATATTAATTGCTGCATTGACAAGATTCATATAATATTTATGCCATGTTTATGTAAACATGGCATATATATGATATGCTATATTAATGCTAATGTGACAGACTATTAATTCATTCTCCACTCTTGGATTTGAGATAAGTCATGATGCTCTGTGTTGAGATGCACAATAAAGAAAGGGCATGTTTGAATCACAGAACTTTAATATTAAATAAGTTCTCTTACCACTTTGTTTCTTGTGTAAAGCATTGCATTGGGATTTTCCACTTTCTCTACTGAATAATGCTACTTTAAGTGCTATATGATTTGGTGGACTTTCTTTATGTGGTTAAGAAACTTGTGGTTAAGAAACTTAAAGAATGTTGTGCCATGTTTCTTCTTTCTCCTCACTAATTTTTATTTAACTTATTTTGAAAAATCTGGTCAATGTGATTAAGCTCTGTCAGGTGGCCCTGTACATCTTCAACCTGAGCCTGAGCCTGGAGAGGGTTCCTGAACTGTGGAAGACTTCCTGTGTGGTTCCGGTGCCAAAAATCGCACACCCCAGGGAGCCCAACCACTTCAGGCCTGTTGCCTTGACTTCTCATCTGATGAAGACCATGGAAAGGCTCATCCTGCACCACCTTTGGCCACTGGTGGGCTCAGTGTTGGACCCCCTGCAGTTTGCCTACCGTTCTGAAATTAGGGTGGATGACGCTGTCATCCACCTGGTACACCGATCCCTCTCTCACTTAGAGCCTATACAATAAACTGGGGCAACAAAGAGAACTAAGATCATAATACAAAAACTCTGAGACACAAGAAACTCAACACTGGGTCACCGACCCAGGACCGTGACAATTTTTATAATGGCTCTACCTATAGGTTCTGTAGTCCCATGTCCCAGAGGGTGGAGGGCCTGTTTTCTCTATACAATCAGTTATGTGGGAAGAAATTCAGTATGAATCAGAATTAACTCTAGCGTCTCACAGACAGTTTGCAAAATGTGTGCATTGACAAATACTGTCAGGCAGATAGTCCAGTTCATACATACACACTTAAACAAACTTCTAGTAACATCGGGCATACCGGGCTTTTGCCTGGTGTGAGCCCATGGTGATTTTTTGTTTTCACGGCCGATATGTTGGAGTTTTGTTTGTTTGTTTTTTTAAATAAATAACCGGTATAAACAATTAAAGGTGGTGGACTGGGCAAAGGGTCATGATCAACTCTGGGCTGGACCAATTACAGCCGAGGAGCTCCTCCTTGCTTGGGCAAAGGCCCTGAAAGCAGTGTTATCACAGACAAACAGAAGAAAATTGTATTGAAGGGAAACGGAACACGACTTTTCCCATACTTCAGCTGAAAAATGACACAAAGCTGGAGTTATTCTGTCTTTACCATGCTGCCTCTTCTTCTCTTTTCTCCCCCCTCTGTTCCTATGCTACTGCGAGTGTACCGCTCCTCCCCCCTGCTCCGCAAACATAAGGCAGTGTTTACATTCCTTCACCCTCAACTCAGTGGAAACACAAGGCTCACGTGCGGCGTGAAGCGAGAAAGGTGAGAGAGAGAGGGTGAGAGAAAGAAAAAAAAGAAACAAGGCTCCCAATCAAGGGCGTAGATTTGGTTTTGGCATTGGTGGGGACGGATGATTCAACCACCGAACCCTGCCCTGTTTCTTTTTTTTTTCCTTTTTGTCTTTGCTTCTTGATAATAAAAAAAAAAGAGAGAGAGAAATATACTTGCCTATGTATGCTATTCTACATGCTTTTAAACCATTTAAAATTACAATTCATAGTTTTATATGTGAATTGTATAATGTTAAATTACTATTAAACAAATGTATTTTAGACTTTAGATTACCTCAGCCATATTCCATATAAATCGGGTTTCATACAAAAAAAATAGCTTCAAATACAGTCATGACAATAAAAGAAAATGACTTTGAGGACTTAACAACATTACTTCAGTTATATTACACCAACATCTCTTATATACATTAGCACTAAGGGAACACTGAATGATCTGGTGGGTTTTGTCCATAAAACTACTCATCTAAGATTACCACAAAGTAAAAGATCTCTCAGCAAAATTATGCAACATTTTAAGTACACTATACAAACATTACTAATGAGGCACTCATATGGATATTGGTGGGGACATGTCCCTTGCGTCCATGCGAAATCTACGCCCTTGCTCCCAATTGTTCTGGGAATCCATCCTACCCGTTGTTTTTGCCCATGCGCACAACACGAAATTAAGTGGCAAATCGTCCTACCTTTGTTAATCTGAGCTAGAAGCATACTTTCATAGCTAAAAATTCAGTGGTAAACCATCCTACCTTTGTGAATATCAGCTAGAAGCATACTTTAACAGCTAAAATTCAGTGCCAAATCATCCTACCTTTGTTTATAAGAGCTAGAAACATACTCTGAAGGGTAAAATTAAGTGCCAAACCATGCTACCTTTGTGAATGTGACCTACAAACATACTTTAATGTGTAAAATGAAGTGGCAAACCGTCCTGGCTTTATAAATATGACCTACAAGCATACCGTCATACCTACTTGAATTTGTGGTGGAATTACTCTGACAGCAGAAATGTGTATAAACTACTTAAGGTAATTTATTTATTTATTTATTTATTTTTGAGCGTCGTTCCAGACCATACTCCATACCAGTTGGTGGCGGTAATGCACCTTTCAGTTGTTTGCCAACCGCCAATACAAATGTAAGAAAGAGGAAGAAGAAGTTTCAAGGGGAAGTAAAAGTTATCAGCCCTTATTTCAGTTTTTAAAAGAGGGGAACCTGTTTGGAAGGATTTGAGGATTGTTTTTCTTTTCTTTCTTTTCTTCTTTTTTTTGAGCGTCGTTCCAGACCGTACTCCATACCAGTTGGTGGCGGTAATGCACCTTTCAATTGTTTGCCAACCGCCAATACAACTGTAAGAAAGAAAGAAAGAAAGAAGATTCAAGCCTTTAGTTGGACTTTAGTTGGATGGTATCGGTTGTTGTTGCAATGTCTA